ACCACCAGGAAGAACACTGACCAACAAATGAACACGCAGCTTCACTCAGAATAAGACTCAAGGTGCCATTGTCCTGCCTCCTCTCTAATACTGGAAGGAGCTGCTGATGACAGGTAAGCTGCTGTCAGCTGGACACACTGACACAGGACTGCACCAATAGCCCTGCCCAAAAAACATCACCAGCAAACTGAAGCAGTTGAGTCTCTGCCACGTTTACTATCATAATTGCATTCCTTGTAAACTTCAGGTTGTCACATTGCCTTCAGCCTGTAAATTGTCACAAGATTCTAATATGTACCTCCTGAAATTGGTAATTCTGTGCAAAAGCATTCAGCAGCTCAAATCACAATGATGTGTTAATTTAGCTAATCAGCAGTTATATTAACTATCTAGAAAACAGAAAATAAGAACTGTTGGATGACTTCTCTTATGAGGGAAAAAAAAACCTACACTGATACTTTTTTGATGGCACAGCTCATTATAAAGAGGTTGCCATAAAATAATTGCAGGAGAAACAACAACAGTATATATGGCCATTACTGAGTTACTGATGGACAATACATAAGATAATACAGCTAAAGGAAGCATGTTTAAAATATTTGTGTAGATACAATCTTAGGCTATATCTAAGCTCATCCTTGCATCTTGCTTCATATGATGCATTAACTTGGTCACTATTAGACTTGTGATCACAGTACTGCCTATGTCTTATATAAGATTTCACTGGAATTATCACTGCATTTAGACACACTAAAGAAACTCAGACTGTTACCATTTTTTTCTTATGATGATAAGCTCCTGGTCTGAATCTGTCTAAAACCAGTCTTGTCTGCAATGTCCCTACAGCTATCAGAAAGCTCCAGAGCAAAAGCCAGAAGCCTGCAATGGAGACAGGAATCTTAAATGGCCTGAGTCTGGTGCTGCCTGCATCCCACGTTTTCACTGTCAATTCATACATCAACTTTTCAACTGTAACAGATTATATTTAACACTAACCATCTTAGCAAAGTCCATGTGATGTGAATTTACAACCCAGCTAAAGCAGGAAAGGAAACACATCCTGTGTGGTCTGACAGCAGGGCAACCAGAAGAAATACACTCCAGAGGTGCTCAATGGGGCTGTCCAGGATTGATCCACCCCAAGACCTCTGGTGAGACAGGGAGAGTTCTGCTCTCTAAAGCAAAGGAGTAGCTTCTTATTACTTCATTGGTGAGTCTGCACTGTTGTTTTCCTGTACATAAATCAATAAACTATCTCTAAAAATATTTCCTGCTCTGTGTCACAACATTTCTGTATTTTTGAGATGGGGACTACAGCTCTGAGAAGGAATTACGGTCTCATCAACAGGGGAAAATATGGTCAAATACTCCAAATGAATCAAAGCAAAGTGGCAGGAGAAGGAGAAATAAGACATGGCATTTTCCATTGCTGTAGCTTCTCCTTGCTTTTGGAAAGTAACTCGTTTTTTCATAATCATGTTGTCAATGTATTTCCAGGACCAGTTTTTAAAGCAGAGTCTCATTAGACCCATCTGGTCTTTAATACCTATTTACACTACCAATGGAGTTTGAAGCAACCTTCAAAGACATTTGCTTGAAACAGGCTTTCGATCCACTAATTAAACCTTAACAATCCCCTGTAATGAGCAACACGTTTTTTTCCCAAAAATTGTGTATGTCCCAGGTGGCTCCTCATGTCAGCACTGAAAGCAGAGGCCACTCCTGAAGGATCCTCCATCACAAACATCTGAGACCAGGAAAGTCGCCAAACAGCACCTGAAGAAGCAGTGATTCCCATGAAATCATGGAATGGTCTGAAGTGGAAACCATCCAGCTCATCTCATTCTATCCCTGCCATGGGTGGGGACACCTTCCACTATTCCAGGTTGCTCCAAGACCCATCCAACCTGGCCCTGAACACTTCAGAAATGGGGGTATCCACAACTTCTCTGGGCATCCTGTACCAGGGTCTAACCACTCTCAAAGTGAAGACTTTCTTCCAGCTCTACTTTTAGTCAGTTTAAAGCCATTCCCCCTCACTCTATCACTCCATGCCATCTCCAGCTGTCTTGAAGACCCCTCAGGGCACTGCATGGGGCTCCAACATCTCCCTGGAGCCTTCTCTTTTCTAGGCAACAACCCCAGCTCTCAGCCAGCCTTGACAGCAGAGGTTCTTGAGTCTTCTGAGCATCTCTGTGATTTCCCCTGGACCAGCTCCAACAGGTCCAGCCTGAGACAAGGTTGGGTGTCTGGGCTCCAAGGGCACGTTGCCAGTTCACGTTGAGCTTCTCATCGAACAAGTCCTTCCCAGGGCTGCTCTCAATCCATGCTTCACCCAGTCTGTATTTGTGCCTGGGAGTGCCCTCACCCCTCTGCAGGACCTTTCCTCACAGCCTTGACACCTCCTAGTAAATAAGTCCCTGGTGGAGGCAAATGACAGCCGGACAGCAACACCAAAGTTTGCAAAGCTCCTCATTCACTGTTAGTAATGTTGTCCTCTGTAACATCCTCATCCTGTTTTACTTGAGTGCCCTGTGTTGGGGGCTTTTTGCCTCAACTAAGTTTAACTATATTTATTAGTTCTAAAGGCTACTTTTCTCTTTCCTATAGCACTGCTTCTTGAATAAATTAGTCCACTGAAGGTGATGTAAGAAATGAAAGGCAATTGTAATTAGTGTAATATCTTTCCAAGATAAAACCATAAAAACTTCAGACAGCTGTCATCTCCTTAGCTATTCTGCTTATTATTCACAAACTCTGATATCCTCTGCATATTACACAGTACGTTTACATGCAATTTCAGTGAAAATGCTCATGGAAGAGGATCTCTAAGTATCTATCTCAGAATCTAGCCGAGAGAAAGAATGGAGCTTGAAAGTCATTTCAGACCTCATTTTCCCTCAGTACAATCATTGTCCTAAATAGGTACACATAAACACATACTGGTTTTCTTTAGAAATAATTCATATGAATTCAATGTCCTTATATAATTGCCTAGATATGACAGTCACTGAAAACTAAAATCCTCTTTTTTATACTACAGTCAGGGTATGGACAGAAAAAAAAATCTAAGAAATGGATGCTCCAAGGGACAGGAAGACTGATTATTTTAGAGGTAAAAGGGTAATTGCTGTCACATGGTAAAAAAGGAACCAGGCAAATTCGTATGAATACTCCTTGGAGAAGAAGCACTTACTGGCTACATTATGTAAGGCAATTACTCTGTGGAGGGGTGGTGATACCTCGAATGCAAGCTCATTCACAGGATGCCTGAATATTGCAGGAAGGCAGCATCTATCTCTTACACCTGGGATTCTTCTACTGATGGCACAGATTCCCCTGAAAACACCCACAGACTCACAGTATCGTAAAACATAATTTAGGACAGAAGGGACCTCTGAGGATCCGATGCCTGCTCTAAGCAGGGTCAATCTCAAAGTTAGAAAAGGCTGCTCAAGACCTTTTTTTTATTGAGTGTTCAGTGTCTCCAAGGCATGTAAGGAAACACCTCCTCTGCCTAAAGAGCTGGTCCCTGACAACACAGGGCACTCTGCACACTCCTGAGTTCAAGTAGCAGCAAGAAGAGGAACTAACAAAACCTTTATGAAAGTTTCCCTTACTAAACACTTCTACAGGTAAGATACAGAATTGCTGAAAACCCAGCAGCTTCTTTTCCAGACACAGTATGGTCAGGGTTAGCAGATGAGTTTCAGCTGCCTTCTCTGTGGAGATCACTCCTCTTGTTCAAACAAAATATCTTTTAAAATCTTCTTCCATGGGTTTCATCTGAGATCTCATTTTCCTGAGACCCCACTCATCTTTAATAATACCCAGCAGAGTGGTTCTATCACTACATGTAATTATGAAGCTGTTACAAAGCCACAGTTAATTACAAAAAGTGAACGTGGCATTGAAATGATTTTTGCTTAAACTCACCAAGGTAGGTTTTTCACAATTACCCTAGCACAGCACATAGCCTAGGCAATTATTGGAGGGCTCTCCACAGAGTAAAAGCAAGTGTGATGCTCTTCTATTATACTTCTAATTCTGTCAGAGTAAGATCAACAAAGTTCATGCACCTACTAGAACATAAAGATTACCATCTCTTCACACAGACTGAACAATAAAATTTACAGATTTGGAAACTTTGTGGAAAGGTTTGTGGTCAAAACCTAGTTAAAGATATTTACTCCTTTGAGTTTTAGTTTAAAACAGATTTCTTCTTTCAGATACATCCCACATACTGTCAGGGCTTTTCTTTCTTTTCCTTTGTTTCCAGATTACATAAGAAATTCATTTCATCTTTAAAGAATAGCTTCTACCTTTGTGAAGGAGTAAATTATTATGTCAAGTTTCCTCAGTTAGCATACCTGTATAGCAATTTTTTTTCAATAAAAATAACCTTTTGTTAAAGGTTTCATTGTATTTCCCAGGAGAATGATAACAGCCACATCTCCAGCCATCTGCAGGCACTACTACAGACTGATGCAGACTCTGAACATTCTTCTCAACACTTCTGTTCAGACAATGGGACCTAATTTCTAAGTGCTTAATTATGCCAAGGGCAGGAGCCCAAAGCCTTTACCCATGCTGAACTTCTTCAACAGTCTTAATGAAAATCAGGCCTCAGGCAAATCATTAGTAAAATTCAAAATCATAAGGAAATTACCCTTTCCATTTTTAGCACAAAAAATGGATTACTTCATAAAGGCCTATAGATAATTCATTTAAAGCTCACATGCTTCAGCTTTGGGCAGAAAAGCAGGTTAAGATATTTGAACATCAAGCACAAATCTCCTCCTATACTCCAAGCTATTGTGTTAGTGCTACTTTAATGCCCAGCACAGCAGAACTATAATGGAAGCAGTTCCCAAAACACTTTATTTCATAAAGTACTCCAGCTAGTTTCCAAATTACCTATTGCAAAAAAAAAAGCAAAGACCCTACTTCAATGCCATATCCAACACCTCAGACACTGGGGCTGGATGGAGGACTCTTACCCCTGGACTGCAGCCCGTGCCCACACGCCTCGCTCTGCCCCGGCAGGCCCTGTCTCACCGAGTCTGGCACCAGCACACAGGGGCTCCAGCGATGGCTCTTCCACCTGCAGAGGGAACAGCCAACAGTGACATTCTTACAACTGGGAAACAGGGAACAAATCTGAGCACAAGCTCCAGTTACCAATCATAATAATAATAATCATAATAATCATGCTGTGGGGACTTTAGAGTCACAGAGCTGTAATTACTCCTGACACAAGCACCGGGAACTGGAATTCAGATGCCAGGCTCAGCACATCCTTATCCAACAATGTCCCCCTTTCTCATTTTGCAGGGCGTGTTTCAAACTTAGGTAAGGTACATAGGAAATGGCTCCAGTGGTCTTTGTCACCAGGCTCTCCTCCTGCTCTCATACAACTGATGCTGTTCCCAGCCTGTTTTCCGTGCTCACAGGTGTGCCAGCCATGGGAAGCAGTTTTCCATGGCACCAGGCAGAGCAGAGCGTTGTCCCCTGCCCTGCACTGCCTTCAGCTCCACACTCTGCTCCAGGACCATCTCCTGTGGGATGTGCAGGCTGAAGATTTGTATGCAAAGATATAATGCTTTTCTATTTACTAATATTGCACAACAGATGGGCCACAGAATCTTAATGAAGAGCAGTGAGTAACTGCTCTATTGTATTATTTGTCTAATCAGAACTTTTTAAGTGCATAGTATTCACTGGAGTGAGAGTACCAGGGGAAAAGACAAGAGTTTCTGCAATAAGCATGCAATTATGATTAAGGCACTCTAGGGCTTGTGGTCCCAAAATAGCTCACATTGATTTTTAGATACAATGAGGGGGAAGTTCCCAGTAACAGCTTCCTTACACACATCAGACCCTGAGGTTACTATTTCTAGGAGCTGTGTCTGTTGGTGCTCATTCTGATGATGCCAGATCTACTGAAATCTCCGGTTTGAACTCCACTTTTACGCATTTTGCAAGGTACATTATTTGTTTTAAACTGAATTTTCCAACATTATGTTATTTTCTGGTTAAAATTGTGCAGGACAAGAGTCATTTCTAGAGAAGTGGACACCCACTAGAGACTGATTCCAAGCTAACAGTTTTTACCTATACACTGGACAGATGGGAACATCTTCACATTCTCTTTCCTCATACAAGGTGTCTGGACATGGCTGTCCCCCACTGGCAGAATCCTGAATGATAATCCTGTACCGGGACTGCTTAACTGCAGTGGCATTGCCTGTAAAGCAAAAAAAAAAGCTGTTTTTCAGACATGGTTGCCATCCCAAGTTAGCTATATAGCTGCCTTGGTTAGAAATATACTCTGTGTTTCATTTGTATTTTGAATCTGTGAGCACTCTGTAACATTGTTTCCTTTAAAATTACCAGTAGTTCAGCAAGACAGCAGCTGGAAGGATGATAAATCAACAGCCTAAGAGATGCATCAAAAATCATCTATTTAACAGAACACCAAATCAAGTGAGAAAATAAATAAGTAAGAAAATAAACACCTTAACTGGGGAAAAGAATAAAAAGCAAAGAAACAAACTGTCATAATGGAAGGTTTTGTTCCTGAGAACACATCCTGGTGGTCTCAGGCTGCTACAAGTAACCCATCTTTATGGCTCTAGAAATCAGAGATGATAACTTCCTGATAGGAAAACCATTGTAACCAACAGAGGCTAACTCTCTACTTAACCTGAGCTGACGCAAGACCAATCCATCTAGAAACACAGTTCACAAAATCAATGGTACAGAATGCAACAGAAAAGACAGGAGCAAGATTTATCTGTTTGTCTCTACAGCTAAAGCAAACACAATCCTTGGCTGTGTAAGTGGTAAGAGCAAACAGAGCTGGTTTAACCACTGTTCATGGCCCTTGTCCTTCTCTGGGAACCATGCTCACACTCCAAAAACAGGTGCTAGAAAAGTAAAAAGGCATTTCAAGAGAACTCCTTAAAGGATTGCAGATCACATAAAAAGCTTTAAATAAAGGACTTCATCAAATATGTCTGAAAGAGGAAAGCAGTGCCAATAAGCCCACTATATGAGTATTATTTTTCCAGCTCAGAATAAGAGCAAAGCTGCAGCAGCAAAATTACAGTGCAGTAGAGTAGAAGGAAAACTTAGAATTCACATAATGAACACAAAGTACAAGCACAGATCCAAGAAAAATGTTGCCTTTAAAAATACCAAGTCATACAAGCCTCCACTGGCAGATGTGCCACCACTGTGAGATCACTGCAAAAGGACACTGGACTGGCAGGAGGCTGCTCACCACGGCTGCTGCCCTGGGGCAGGAAAAGCACATTCAGATCCCTCTTCTGCTTCTTTCACAGCTGCTACTGAGACAGCTCTACAGCTTCCTGCAGGCTCCTTTCACATGCCTGATTTGGGCCTGCCAAATCAGCCTCAAAAAGAGCCTTTTCTTAAAATCTAGCCTACACCATCACTCCTGGAAATTAAACTGTTTTATCTTCTGTCCACTACCTGAAGAAAAGAGTTTATCCCTATCACCTAATGCATACAATTTACAAAACTGTAAGGGTTTGCATCCATTCTATGTCTTCTCCTCTCTAAATTAAGCAAACCCAGTCCTTTGTAGGCCCAAGTCAATTCCCTCTCCCTGCTCACTTTCACACAACACCGTGCCCAAGGACCTGCAGCCTCCCCTGGGCACAGTACAGTGACCCCTCAAGGGTCTTACATACAACATGCCCAGGAATCTGACAAGCCTGGTAGGAGTTTTAGCATTTCTAACTGCTGACTTTCATTCCTTCTGTAGCCCATTGTATCTCCAGAAGCGCCTGAGGCCACAAAAACTATTTAGGGAGCAGAGCACTTGACACACAGAAGAGACCAGGAAAGCTGGGGCTCTTCTGCTTGGAGAGAAGGCTCACAGCATCTTATCAGTGTGTATCAACACACTCTAATGGGCAGTAAAGGAGACACAAACAGACTATTTTCACTGTGATATCCACTGTGAGATTTTTCAAGCAGCTGAGTACCCATTTAAGAGTCATTTAATTTAAGCCACTGTTCCTCAGCTTCCTGATAAAAGTTTAATGTGTCAAAAATCTACCACTTCCCTTAATTAGAACAGCTACGCTGTCAAAAAAAGAGGAGATTAAATTTATTTGGCACAATTTGTTCTCAATAAATCCTTACCGGACAGTTTATTACAATCTGATTCTTGAAATGTTTATATCTTGAGTAATAATTTGTTCTTGTGGATTTCTACATAATGAAGTTAGGATGAGTAGTCTACAATTTTCTTGACCTTTCTTTTTGGAGGAGCAGAGGTGAAGGGAAGAGTTTTAGTTTGGTCTGCCTTGGTACTACTGAGTTTTACTTCTTTAGGACCTTATTTCTCACCCATAGAAGAGTCACTTGATGCTCTGGCATTACTTTACTACTTATTCACACTCATTCAACCTCACTGACATGGGAATAGCTACTCAATAGAAACACTCCTTAGTACATTCTTCTCATGGCTGCAGACAGGAAACAACAGCAGCAACTGCACGCTCCCCATGTTGTGCTTCCCCCATTTCACAGAAAGTACATTTCATACAGCTTCCCCTTATTTACAATCCATTTATGCGACTTTCACTATCTAATATCCTCTAGCTTAGTTTGCATCCTTGGTTTCTTGTTTCTAATCTTTGTGAAACAATATGACAATTCAAAAGCAAACAAGATCCTGAACAACTCTGACAGTAAGATAAAGAAGAGCTTCTCTAGATGTGTGTGATGCTCCTCTTCATGGTTTGAACCTTGAACTTGCAAATTACATACAGACCTACACATGCCTTGCTCCCCAGTGCTACTGGCTTGCTGTTAGCACAGTTTCAGAGAAATTAGAGTCCAGCAGGGCTTCAGCCCTTTGGACAGGTTTTCTTGCACCTTCCAGGTCTTCTGCACTCCTGACTGCACAGAACAAGTTCCTGAGAGGTGCAGATACCAATTCCCGCAGTTTGTTAAAGTCTTTTTTTTTATTTTAAATGTCTTGTGATATTGCCATCCTTCCCTTCCAAGAATCATGAACTCTATCACTTTGTGATGATTTTCATTCAAATTATCTACCACCATTAGAATCTTACCCATTTCCTTCCTATTAATCAGTACCAAATCTAAATGAGCTTCCCACAGTAATTTTCTCCACCTCAAGAAACTAAATTATCCTCAACATTTATTGCACCTTACTCAAACCCCATTTTCAAAATTGAATTTCCTCACTGGCTTTTCTATAGCATTCCTTACAAATGTTAATGAGTATAATTTTTGTATTTCAGTAAAATTGCTATAGCCTAATTTTTCCAGAGTACTAGCAATGTGGAGGACTGTCCTTTTAAAGCCAAACTGATTTCCAGCATGGAAATATGACCATTTGTCCTCCTGAAAAAAAAGCCTCAAGATCTCAGGACCATCTTAACTTCTCTGTCCTTGACTTTGCAACTCAGATAATGCTGTTTGAGAACTTCAGGGGTGCCTTACCTCTGTTTCCACTCTCCACTCCTGTGCCACCAGCCTCCATTCTCCTCCCTTACAGCACCATACAATTCCTATCAACGACTCTTACTCCTCCCTGGATCTTGCATCCTTCCTTCCTCTGTCTTTCAACCCAGTGCTTCCATACCCAGGGTTCACAGAGCTGCACCACCATTCCCAGGTGAGGGACAAAAATCCCTTTTCACTCCTGAAACATGTGCCGTGTCAGGTCCAGCTTCCACAGAAAACATCCAGCTTCCCTCTCTGCTCCTGCCCAGATGGAAAGCCAGTCTGGTCAACACAAGACTCTGCTTACACAAAAAACAAGGACAAATTTTCTGAGATTCACCAAAATCAGTGCTATCAATACTTTTGTAGAGGTAAGAGCTCTTAAGTCTTTCGCTTTGACCAGCTCTGGTTGTGTGTTTATGAGGACTGGAAGTAGCAGATCATGTCTGACACAAGGTAGAAGTCACTGGAATTTCTTAGTGTAGTACACCATTCATTTTATCCACTTTTACCCCTTCTCATTTCCAATCTGATTTAAGGCATGGAGGAAAAAAAGAGGACAGCTACTATCTAACATTTCATGTAAACTTGTTCAGAAAATTAAGTAACTGTGAAATTTCTAACCTTCCTCCTGGACAACCAAAGCCCAGAAGAGAAGAGGTACTCACAGGCACCATCTATTTTCAGAAGAAAGATGAAAAATGTTATTTATTGTAAATTGTTTTCTTTTTTAATCTCCCTGTTTTAAATCTATGGTGACAGACCAGGGAGTACCTCATCCACACTGAAAGCAGTTACCTCTCCAGGCCACTTTCACCCCCAGGAAAGCAGGTGACAAGAGGAAAATCTACCTGCTGCTCATTCAGACCATTTCCTATCCTGAACCCACCTTACTGATTCTTCGACTCTTTTTTCAATCCATTCTCAAAGACCAGGTAAAAGAGATAGATTACAGAAGACTGCAGTAGACAGTTGCCACCTTTAAATATCTGAAATGGCAGAGAATCAATAACTTGCAACAACCTCCCTGCTCCTGCCTCCCCAACAGGTGTTTGGATTCAGTGGCACTTCCTTTGTGAATTATGTTGTCAGTCCAGCTGTTACTGCCCTAAGCTCAGTGCTGTCTGCACTTCTGAGGCAGGAGATAACCTTCTGCCAGAAGACAGACGTTTGTCTGATGACATTTAAATGTAGGGAAAATGTCAGCTTTTTTATTGTGTGATGGTAAACTCAGATGTATTTCCTCAGATAAACTACAAACAGCTCAACTGGTAAAGTTCTGTGTAAAGCTGATTTAGTGATTCTGTGTTTGTCTAAGTTCTGATCTTATGCTGGTACACAATTAATTTTAAACCTGCCAGGCAATACCTGCCCCTGCTTGATCAGATTAGTAATTCACCATCTGTATATTGCTTTCATTAAGTACAACTTTTCTATAAAAAAACCACAACACCCCTAACAACTCACATACGTATAGTGGCTTTGAAATTTCATTATCATGCTGAGGTTTTAATTGTGCAATGCAAATTAAAAAAAAATAAAAAAAAAATCTTACAATGCAGCCATATCAATAACAGATTTAGCAAAAAACAAACTCCCTCATCTAAGAAGTTTTAATTTAGAATTATATTAAAATGATAACACTGCCAAGGAGGTTAAATAATTAATTTCTTCTCATTTTAATTGTAGACTATTATTTAATAAACAAAGTCATTTACCAGGTAATTTATTCTACTCCTTCATAGGCAGCTCATTTAAAGTCTAAAAATAAATTGCTAATTAAAACAGGATTCACTGTTTTAGAAAGCAACTCATTTTCCTGTAAAATCTAACAAGGACTATGCTAAAGCATCCACTGATAAACTTTGAAGGGCAAGGAAACTACCAACAATAATGAAATATTCTGATAACTGAGCAGACTTTCATCTGAACAATTAATGAAACAAATTTGTCAGAAAACTCAACACTAGATGATTATAAAGAAACTTTGTTCTACACTCATTGTGCCTCAAAGTTAACCAACAAGATCAAAGACATGTTTGGCCCTTGAAAATCCACAAAGCAAAGGCGGTACCTGCACAACCCTGTACGTACACCCAGGCTGATCAAGAAAATTACATTTCATATGTAAGCAAGTCCATGTGCAGCCATACAGCACAGGGGCCTTGGAGGTCTAACTCTGAAGGCAGAAACCCAGAAGGAATTTTTTTCCCAAACAAAGAGAATTCACATCTCCAAAGCTGCTCACAAATGATCCCAAACTCCCAAGAACATCAACTTGAAAGTTAAGGTCCAAAGTCCTCAGGTCCAAAACTCACGCAGATGAATGCCCTAAAACTTATTAGACTGGTGTGAACTTCATCTGCCACATGTTTCTAGGCCAATGTATTAATTTTTCCCCCAAATTCTGACTTCTTAAAGGCTTACCAGGTTGACAGGCTGTGGGACAGGGTGTCCACTCACTGAACAGAGTAACAATGCAGTCCTTCCTGCAGGGGAGGAGACACGGCCGCACCGACTCAGGCCGGAGGGACTCCGGACACCTGCAGATCCAAACACGGATAAAACAAAAGATAAACTTAAAACTATGGAGAAAAAATTTATTCCTAAGACTTCCACAGGGCTGTGAGCACATTGCCATACCAAAGACACTATTCCTGGCCAGAGCAAGCCTTATTTTTCTTTTCACTCATGCAACCCAGCTGAATTTAGTACATTTCAAGGATTAAAAACACTGTGTTTTTTTTAAAAAAAAATGGGAACTTGGCTTGATGACTACAGGCTAAATGTAGCTCTATGACATCAAAATCACAAAGCTCATGGGAGTAAAACAGATATTTATTACTAGAGAAAGTGAGTAGTTATGTTTATGTAGTCCTGTTTTAGCACAACATGCAACAGCCTTCAAACCACCTGTCTGTAAAGGCTGATGACATATTCCTCAACTTTCAACCTCCAAGGAACACAAAAATAGTTTCAAGTGTAATAAAGTACAAAGAGCTCTGTGATGCTCTTCATTCATTTTTAACTCCTACATGGAAAACATGTCATACATATTCTAATAAAAGTTTCAGACACAGTTAATATATGAGGACTTGAAAAGCAGAAAAGGGACAGTTTTATGGGATCAGTCAGATCTTGCATATCAAGTGGGTGAACAGGAAGGGAATTAATCTTTCTCAGTCCTTATTAATTTCTATTAATTATAATACTTAGCAATGCATGCAATGCAAAATGATCCCACATGAAGGAGGAATGTGCCACTAATCCCTTCAAGAAAAAAAAAAAGTTAAAACCACAATTCAGCTACTTAAGTGTTTACTTACCCCGTTCAGTTCCATTTCCTCTTACACAACCTCAGAAGTGGAGGGTGCAAACAACTATTTTAGGCATTACATAGCTCTATAAACAGGTGAATTTCGAGCATATCAATGCATTTGAGACATACATGAATACCAGATTTCTTTCCTTTTATTTAATTAACCTCATTAACCTCAAGAATTTTAATAAACTTTACTGAACTCAGCAAAGCCTGCCTACACAAATAGCATTGTTTTGAGAGTTACAATTGGAAAGGAAACTCAGTTCTAAGTCTCCATACTCATTAATGGTATGAAAATAATTAGCAACATTTTGATTCCTCAATATTAAGGAAAACATCTGTGCTACTTATTTTCCTCATTTAGTAAAGCAAAGCAAAATTTGGAATATTTTTACTGCAGAGTATGTAATTTTGTTGTGTTGCTAGCACATTATGGAAGTTATATAAACCAAGTGAACAATATAGAACACACATATGGTACTGCCTTATTGGAGTGTAAATATAATGCAAAATCTATTTACTTTTTCTATTTTATTAGAGCACTGCTAATAACGTGTTGCTGAACATTATATTCAAATGTGTTTTACATTTTCCTTGCACCTGTCCTTCAGGGAAAATATTTGCAGAAAACTGTAAATTAGAGTAGCAGAGGAGCTACAGCAAAAAATCTCCACCACTGAAAGCATGCTTTTTGCCTAGATTTAGATGGAAAGTTAGAATGGGCTGGATATTTAGTTTCTTTGCCTGTTACAACAGTGATGGAGTAGTACCTGGAGAGTTAGTCCTGAAATGAAATTACTTCAATGCTGCCGAGTCCATACACTTGCTGAAAATGCCTTCGTACAGTAAATATTTTATAAATAAACACTAACAAGCTTTCTTTAAATACCTTTTGGGAGCGACCTGGCCAGAGCTGCTCTTCCTGCAGAAGATTTTCCTTGTCTGGATGCCCACCCCACAGGTGGCTTCCCCGCTCCAGCTGGCGGTGGCGTTGGGCGCGGCGCCCGGCACATGCTCGGAGCAGGAGCTCCAGGGAGACGCTTCCCAGAAGAAACGCACGCACAGGTGCTCGTTGCAGGCACGCTGCTCCTGCAGGGATCGCTCAGGGGGACAGGCTTTTCCACCTGGAAAGGGTCAAGATAACACCACATCCTCATCTCACAGCGTGTGGCAAAAGGAAGATGAGGAAAAATTTTTTTAAAAAAGTCAGGTTGCCACAATACCTTCCCTTTTCACCCCCATAAAAATAAAATAAATAAATAAAGCTGTTGACCTTTATGGCTGCAATAACAACCTTCTAAAATATTGTTTCCTCATTAAACTAGCCTTGCCTAAAATTGTATTCCAATGCCTAATGAAAACAGAAATACGAAAAGTGTATTTCTCAGTTACTTTATCAATAACTCCTACACAAAGCAAAGTTAATTCCATTTAAATGCCAGTATCACTCAGCAAACATGCAATCATGTTTAAAGACAAATTAAACATTATTTTTATGTTCATTCTCTTTGCTAATCTCCCAAGAAGGACTATCCCTCTCTCATATCTGGACTATATTCATTTGTTGCCTTAAAGATTTGAGCAGTAGAGGAAGCTGAACTGTAATGGCAGCAGGATGCATCAAATGACACCCACGTCTGCAAATCAAGGAGGGGGAAAACCTGAAAGACACGTTTTGAGTATGAAGCCTTCACTTCACTGAAGCACCATCCTTCAAATTCATGTCCAAAGATTTTGCTAAACGGCTTCACTTTGTCAACAACTGGTGACAAAGCCCCAGAGTACAGGAGTTTGAAGAGCCTCCTCCCCAGAAGCCATAACACTCAGCCAACAGCCTGAATTTATCCATAAAAGCAGATGATCGTAGCTCAAAAGCTACAGAGTAATGCAGTGAAATTTAACAGTAAGCACTGTTATCCTAGGAAGAAAGAAGCAAAAATTACTAAAATCAAAATCATTTACCTCCAGGAGGGAGAACCCAGACAACTTGGGACACAGCCAAAGTGCTGAAGGTTTTGAAAGAGCTGAACTGTTGGGGACAGATACCACAAGGTTCAGAGCACCTTTACAACCCGCTAAAATCAACAGGAGATGAAGGGATGTCAAAGGGATGCCTACTGCCTTGCAGGACTGACCCTCCTGGAAAAATGTAAGGCCCCATATGGCCACAATGAATAGCAGTGAGGAAAGAAAAAGAGAGAAACTACCTAGCCCACTGGATAATCATGTCACATTACCGCTCATCTTTTCATGAAAATGGACAGATCCACATAATGTTCAGCCTCAGAAATGTTTAGTATAATGATGGAGTAGAAAATGCCCCAGGTAGCTTATTTCCTGAAGAATTTGACTTGGCAGGAAAAATGCAAACTAGTTATTTTTCTTGTGTGTTTGAGACACATCTTTAAAATAAATAATGGTAACAAGCAAATGGCAAAATGCCTGATCCATTTGTAAGTAAAAAAAACATAAAAAACTTAAGAATATATCCAACTCGAATCTACAGCTTCCCAGGCAGAAGTCAGGGTGGCTTTTTTTCAATATTATTTTAGTTACAATATGTTAATGAAGCTCTCCTAAACAAGTCAGATTTAGCTTAACATAGTAAGAAATGGCTCATCCAAACTTGCCCACAACACTGCAAGCAGGAGATGCTGTTTTCATAAAGAGCACAAGGGCCTGGCCACTTTCTGCATTTCATTGACAACTTTTGTACAAAGAAAGCAGGACAACATGCCTCTGCCTGACCATTCCAGTAGACATTTACAGATGTTTTTATGATGTTCAGCAGTTCTTATAATTCATTTTACACCTGCTGCAGTGCCTGCTCCATGATCTCCTCTTGCACCAAGTTTCAGACAGTTGCTATGTAAAGAATTATCTTTAAAACCTGATTCAAATCAAGCCCCCCAGGTTTCACCAACAGCTTCCTGGTTATCATATTCTGGGAGCAGGTAAAGAGCTTGAAGAAAATAACCCAGAATTTCCTTAAGTCCTCCAACAGCAGAGCCACAGCTGACACTTCCTCTGTTGACAGAGGCCAAACAAAACGGCCCTAACAAAGGTACCAGAGCTCTGTAGAAGTCAGGTGCTCAGTGGTGAGCTGGGTGTGAAAAAGGGAGAGAAAGCAGTCTCTAATGCCTTAATATTGCAGTGATAGTGGTATTAACTGCACTTCCACTCTCCCAAATTTCAAGTACAATCTGCACACACATGTGTGACTCTACACAGCAAATTGTTACACCATTGCTACAGATGCACAGAAAAAGGGAGTTTGAGTTCAATAGTTAATTATTCCTTCCTGAGAAACTTCAAGTATTGAGCTCAGAGAACACCATTTTTAGGTTCATGCCTTTCAGATTGAGATGCTTGTGTTTCTGTACTTCCAGAATTCATTCCCTCACAATTTCACTCTCATAATTCCATGTTTTATCTATCGTTTGGATTCGATACCTCCATGGAAAACATGAGACAAACTATATTTTCATTTTAATTACTCTCTTGGTCATACACTTTTTAGTAGTAGTTATTATCATTCAATCAACAATTATTTTCATCCTGAAGGGTCCCAATTTTCTTCACAAATGCTTATGAGGATGTTTATGTGAATACAGACCTTTCACATCAGTAAGGGTCTGCAAGATCAAGTCCTTACAATAGCCCAGAAACAGTGGGTGGCTTTAATGATAATTTACAAAATAGCACTTAACAGAGCTCATCCTGGACTAGATTTGCATCTAAAAGTGTTTTGCTGCTGCATTAACTACACTTAGTTTTGGCCCTAACAGGTATTTTGTATCAACAAGGCTTTAGTCTGTTGGACCTCTTCACATTTTATGAATTTTTATGCACTTGACCCAAGACCTTTCAAATCCTGTGTGATAAACCAACACATAAATTAATTACCATACGTGTAACTGTATTAGAAGACTACACTCCTAATACAAAATGGTTTGCTTAAATAGCTGGACCACTGATGTTAACATGTAAAAAAACAGATACATGGTATGTCCATGAAGATCCAAAGGAAATGACATGTATTTATCAAGAGCTATTTACTTACCACAACAAGCAGGTAAGCACATTCCAGGTCTTACATTTAAAAAAACAATAAAATAAGCAAGTCCTTTTCCATTTCCTCATTTTTCACAGCTCACCGGTTTTAAATCATTCCTGGTATGTTCCCATATAAAGACACTTGCATGATGGCTCTGTCATGCAGCAATTTTACTGGTAGAGGATGAAGCTCTCCAGAACCAAATTCACACCTAGACAGGCCCTCAACAGACAGCAATTCAGAGGCTGAAGAAAATAGTTTTGAACTGTGACAGAATTTCTCCAAGTGACGCATGAACTCCAGTCCATCAAGGTCTCTTAGTCTCCAGGCAGAGACAAGCATCACTATTACCCCTGGTTCCTGAGGAACTGGCATCAGCTCTGCTCTAAACAGTTTGGCTCAGGACAGGAAGTCAGTGCATTATAGGAACAGTAACTCTCCAGAAATGTTCAGCACTCACCCTCGGCTGGAAGGGCCAGGATGGACCTGCTCCTGCTTTGAGTGCCCTCGGCGTTTTTGCTGGAGCAGGAGTGGGAGCAGGGAGACCACGGGGACCACTCGCTGACAACACAGTCCCTCGCACAAGGGACTTCACAGGCCACCACCTCGGGATGGGGAAGCTCTGAGCAGAGGTGATGTGGTACTTCTTCACCTGGAACAAATGAAAAAAGAGACACGGAGGGAGGCACAGCTTGGTTCAACACCCACAGCCTGCAGCAAACAGACTGACTTCACATCGAATGTCCACCTGCCCGTGCAGGAATATGCTACTGAACAACACGTGGTGAGCCTTCAGGCTGCAAAGTGTAATACTTGAACAGCTATCTAAAAAATTTATGCAGGAAAGCAAAGAAGACAAAAATGTGTTTCAAGCTCGGTGTGTGACATCTTGGCTGCAGTCCACTCTCTGAAGCAGGTAAGAGAAAGGAATGAGATAATCTCATCAGCAGAAAGCTGCAATATATTAACAGAATAGTTGATACAATACTATATCAATATGTTGATACCCCTGTATCAACAGGAGCAATGATAATTCCCCTATATTTTCTATCAATCTCTACCTACAGAACTTATTTTCCACAGTAAAAATTGTGCAGGTCCCCAGAGAAGTCAGATTTTTTTTTTTTTCATATAGGCCAGATAAGTATTTGGCAGATGTTTTAGTCCTTCCCCTTCAGCCTCACTAGAATGAGCCACTCTTATTTCTGACCCTTGCTTCTCACCAAACAGCTAGATCTAAAATTACTAATCTATTGGGCCACCACCATCCAAAAGAGAAGTATTTTCTGCTGGAGATGAACCAAGGGACCTGGACCAAAGCAGACCTCCTGATGAGAAGCATCTTTCCAAAAGCCCTTTCAACAAGGACAATGGGGAAAAACCTACCAACCAAAAGAACTACTGTCAGAATGAGCAGCAAAATAAGGCAACATGTCGAATACAACACAGGAAACTGTTGTTTTTAGAAAGGAAAATAAAAGAAACTATTTTTTTAAATAAGAAATTTGAGTAATTCATAGAATTTACAAGGACATCATAACTCATAAAAATTCTTAAAATAAAACTCCATCAACTACACCCAATGTCTTACAAATGTATTTTAAGCAATGAAGAGTCATGACTGACCTTGCTGCACTGTTCTATTATTTAGTACTTCTGAATCCTCAGGAAACTTTAGCTACATAACTGAAGTTTCTAGAAGCTCAACTGTTTATAAACAAAAGGGTCGCACCACATGTTACCTCCTCTTTTGGCCTTATAATTGTTACAAACCTCTCCTTCAAGGTTTCTTTAATTATGAACCTTGGAAAAAAAAAAACATAATGACTATCCAGGCTTAATTATACACAAGAAAAAAAAAAAAATTATAATGGCAGAAAGTGCCTCTTTCACCTCACGCTCCAGGAACAGGCTCCATAACAAGGCAGCCCGGGAAGCAATTATAACTGGGAGGGCAGGAAACTGTGCTGCTTTTACAAGAGCCCACATCTACAAGTGAGTAAATAAGAGAGGCAGGCTGTGAGCACATAAAGCTGTCAACAGCACGGCACTATTATCTGCAGATGCATCCCTAAATGAAGACAGGCTCATCGCCCTCAAGGCACAGATAAAACTTTTCATGCGTATTATGAGAAGGAACAGCGGATCCAGCAGGCAATCAGACTGCAAGATATGGTTAAAAATACTTTGGTTTTATACTCCCTTTCCTTTTTACTCACCTGCAAAGGCTTGGTGTGCCCAGTCTTTGCACCACCCCCCTACAGAGCCCCCATCCATCGGTGCTGCAATTGGCATCCCAAGGAGAACCAAGCTGAATCCGCTTTGACCAGCCCCCGTATCACCACTGCTGCTTTGCATGCTCACCTAATGCTGAGAACTACCTTCAGAAAAAAAACAATGTGAAAACAGCAAATAAACCTGTAAGCTTTATTCCAGCTGTCTTCCCGAGTCACTTAAGTGTCAAAATCCTTGCTAACGTTTTGGCAGCTTGTCGTACGGCAGCAGGTAACGGCAGGGCGGCTTGGGCAGGCTGATTTTAGGAGTCAGTGGTACAGTAGCATCAAGAGATTACATGGTTTGGTGAAGCAGAGTGAAACACCTGTCCTCCTCTCCCATGACTGACAGGGAAGCACGTGGACAGGCTGGGGCAGGCTTCAGAACCAGACGGGATGAGATGGGACACTGGCCCCGAAGGCGTGAGCCCCACGCCTGCATCGGCAGCACAGGTTATCTGTTACATCAGGACTTCATGGCCAGAAAGTGCCATGATGTTCACCAAATTCTGAATTTAGCCCAATTTTTTTCCACCTATCAGACTGTGCTACAGATCTAAGCATCAGAGAAGAACTATTTATTGAAAGGCAAGAGAGCCTTTCCACTGATTTAATCTGACTTTAAAAAACCCAGCCCACTCCTCTCAGAAGATGATTTAAATCAAACACTTGGGGCCCCTTTGGAGTGGCTTTTTCTACCCAATAGCTCACACAGCACATATTGTGGAGTGACCACCCTGTGGGGAAGGGAAGCAAACACACTTTCAACTTCTTCCTTCCACGATTTCTTTTCACACTGGATTTACAGCAGGTGACAGCAACAGCAACACTGTAAAAAGAGGCTGCAATTCACAGTTCTTGGGCAAAGAAAGGAAGCTTTGTGCTTTGTTAGAAAGAGTTTACCACCGGGTGCATGAAGGTACAATTCAACACTCACTTTGATTTACTTTATAGCTCCATTCACCGTGTTCAGGTTTAATTACTGCCTTCTATTACTGCAGAAGGGGAATTTCTTCTGTACCAGCTGCCTGGCAGAGAATTCTCAGAAAACTCCTGTATACTACAAAGGGAGGTAATAATCTTTCATTTTCCATGAAAAATACTAGAACAGGATATAGCTGAAGTGTGCTTTATGCATTGTCGCAGATTTAAAGGGAATATTAAATTCTCAAGAGCTTCCAAACTATCCACTCAGTGCCTTGAAGGTGTAATTCTTATCTCACATATGGCTGAATAATTTTTTTAAATCTTTCCATAATCTTTACATGCACAAACATGTTCTATGGGGCAAGATGGGGGAGCCACCCAAATCTACTGATGGAGCTGGCAGAAGGGCTCACCACGCTACTCTCCATCTTTTACCTGAAGTTCTGACTATCCAGGAAAGTCCCAGAGGAGACTGGTGTCTGGAGGTTGGCAAATACGACACCCAGCTACAAGAAGGGCTGGAAGGAGGATCCAGTTTGACCTCAGTACCAGGGAAGGTCATGGAGTAGATCATCTTGAATGCTATCACATGGCCTATACAGCACCTGATCTCCTTCTATGACAAGGTGACCCATTTAATGGATGAGGGAACAGCTGTAGCTGTACCTATCTGGACTTTATGAAAGCCTTTGAACCACTTTCCACAGCATTCTCCTGGAGAAACTGGCTGCTCATGGCTTGGACCAGCACAGTTTGCTGGGTAAAAACCTGTCTGACATCCAGTCCCAGGGAGTGGTGGTGACTGGAGCTCCATCCAGCTGGGGCTGTCACCAGTGGTGCTCCCCAGGCCCCAGCACCGGGCCCAGCCCTGTTTAATGTCTTTACTGATGATCTGGGGGGACGAGGGCACTCTCAGCAGGCTCACAGACAACACCAAACTGGGCAGGAGTGTGGATCTGCTGGAGAGCAGGAAGGGTCTTCAGGGGATCTGAACAGGCTGGATCAACGGGCTGAGGCCAATTGTGTGAGGTTCAAAAAGCCAGGAGCCAGGTCCTACACTTGGATGACAGAAGCCTCAAGCATCTCTCCAGGCTGGAGGGTACCCAGTGGAAAAGCAGCTGTGGGCGCTGGACAGCAGCAGCTGAGAGCAAGAGCACAACCAGACACCATCACCTGAGAGCACAACCCACACGATCCAGCTTCTGATCTGCCCAAGGTGCAAGAATTGAAACAGTACCCTCAGCATGCCCGGAGCCCTGATCCCTCTCACACGCTCTTTATTTCATGCCTTAAGCACTGATTGTTCCCAGCCTTGCTGAAAGCTTGCTTTCCTAAAAGAAGCTGTAGTTAAGAAAAATGTTACAGTTTTCTATTCAAAATCCTTCATTGAAAGCATCCTGGCCAACTCTAATGGCATTTTTTTAAACTGATTGCCTTGTACTTGAATAGTTTAGTGACTATAAAGCTAAATACTCAAGATATACCAAACAGATAGCATTTTACAGGAAAGATTTAATCCTTTTTCTTTCATGTCAGGGTGTAATAATTACAAAAGAGAAGACAAGCACGGCATTTTTGTAAATATATTTGCTAACAAAGTCGCTCATTACCTAATGTACTGGTCCCTCACTTGAATTCTTTAACAAGGTAGCAGAGAAGCACCATTCTGAGTGGAATTTTTAATTTGCCTAAAAGCAAACTAAATTCTTCCCAATGAGGGAAACAAAATAAGGAATGACCTAAAATCCTCCTTGAAGAGCTTGGGCTTTTTCCAGAAACTTAATTTTTTTTTTCATTGTCTTTTGCATTCCAGAAGGAGAAGCCACTCCCACAGTCCTGAGTAATGCACTTCATGGTGAGGCACTGAACCAAGAGGAATGTTTTGTTTGGAATCAGTCCAATAATAAACTGCACCTGTCTGCTTTACACCCTGCCTTGCAGCTCTGGTGCATTGTCTCCTTCTTCCCAGTGACCTGTTGTGCCCATCTCCCATGACACAGTTTTTAATTACTCCTGCCAAGGACATCCCTCCTGGCTCAGGAAAAGGGGAATGTCCACTGAACAGGAGACAACTAAGGCAGCAATAATAAAAATCCCATCAGGCAGCAGGAATCAAAAGATCAACTCAATAACAAACCAAGTGTTCTCCTTTTGACATTCAATAATATAATACCATGCTCATTTTTTAGAAAGAAAAATTGCAAAGTCATTTTGAACTTTTTAGGTTTGAACATGTTTGGAGCCTCAAGTGACCTCTATGATGGGAAAAAGCCCAGGACAAAGGAATTGCACTTCAGACTGTTCTGCACTGCTACCTAGAAGTTCAGAAAATTTAATTTTTGCACAAGTGACTGCTGCAAAAATGCTGCATACTTAATGACAATTACCAGTTTGCCATCAATATTTCTCCTTGTAGTATTTCAAATTATTCAGTGGAAATGATGAAGCTGTC